AATAATTTTTGTGTGGTTAGGACTTATGCTCACACTTAACTATAGGAACAAGAATATATTTTCGTTAATGCCATTTTTTTTCCTCTTTGGAAATTTTTTCCTTGAACACCTAAAGGAATTTTGTCAACAAAAGCCATTGTTAATAACTTTGTGTAAAAAGTTAATAAAAATAATGAATTGTTTTCATGGGCTTATTGTTTAATTTAAAAATCTAACATTTCAAACTATGTAATACAAAATGGCTCTCATTGATCAATATATAAAAATTTGGGTTGAATTGCAGTACTTATGTTGTTGTTGGTAGGTGCTATCGAGTCAGTACCGACTCATAGTGACCCTGTGTACAACATAATGCAACACTGCACGGTCCTGGACCAACCTCACAATTGTTGCCACGCTTGAGCCCATTGACGCTGCCACTCTGCCAGTCCATCTCATTGGGGGTCTTCCTCTCTTTCTCTGACCCTCCACGTTACCAAACATGATATCCTTCTCCAGCTACTGGTCCCGCCTGAAAATACTTCTGAAGTACGAGAGACAAAGTTTGGACATCCTGGCCTCCAAGGAGCGCTCTGGTTGCACTTCTTCCAACACAGATCTGTTTGTTATTTTGGCAGCCCACAGCACTTTCAATATTTTCCTCCAATGCCACAACTCAAAAGCATCAATTCTTCTACAGTCTTCCTTATTCACTGTCCAACTTTCACATGCATATGAGGTGATTGAAAATACCATGACTTGGGTCAGTCACACCTTAGTCTTCAAGCTGACATCTTTGCTTTTCAACACATTTGCCTAATGCAATCCATCTTTTGATCTCTTGACTGCAGCTTCCATGAATGTTGATAGTTGATCCAAGAATAATGAAGTCCTTGGCAACTTCAGTCTTTTCTCCATTGTTAAGAATGTTGTTTATTGGTGCAGTGGTGAGGATTTTTGTTTTCTTTACAGTATTTCAATATGCATTTAAATTAGGTTTTTCAGACCTTTAGTTTTTCTCCAGATTCAGAAGAGTTTTTTTTTAAGTTTTTATTGTGAGTTACGTGATAGTTTACATCGGAGAATATCAGCTTTACACTCATCCTATCGTATTTCATTTCATTGCAATGATTACAATCCCCTCCATGCATCATCATTCAATAGTATTTGCTTCTGTTCCCTCTGGGTTTTTTTTTTTTTTGGATATACACCAAAACACTCAGGAATATGCATACCCTGCAAGTCTACCCCCGACTGCCAGCACACAGCCCCCTCCCTCCATGAGTCCACAGCCAGTCCATCTCTCCTGTCATCTCTGCCTCCATCTCTTGCTGGCGTCACTGCTTCTCTGAATAGGGTCCCACTGGCTCTCACTCCTCTCTCTTTATGGCCCCAGGTTACTATGCTCCTGTACTGCAAGATCAACCACTCCCCTCTTTTTGCTACAAAAGGTCTACCTTTGCAGTTGCAACAATCGGGGTCAGCCATGATAACAAGTACTCACTAGTAAACAAGTGTCTTAATCCCCATCTCCTTTCACCAGCCCTGTCTAGACAAGTTGAAAAACACTCAGTGGAGATTCTACCTTCCCCGAACCCTCTGAAACTAAACTCCCTCTTAAAAATTTGTAAGCCAGTCGCTGTGTGCCTTTATAGCACCCCCATTCTAGGCAGCCAATGTTTAAATTGCCCTTCCCTATCAACCCTGTGTACAGAGGGGATGGGAATGATCCTTGTTGTGAAGATTCCTTCCATCTTCGTTGGTATTTTAAGCTACTACATTCATAAGTATAGGTCAAGTTCATCAAATTGTAGTGAATTTGGTGTTTTCTTTAATCCAAAATTTTTTTTATATTATATTTTTTTTCTTCTGCTTTTCTTTCTTCCTCTAGTGGAGTTCTTATCATCAAGCCATTGAAGCTAGTCAAATGGGTACTATCTGCAAGTATGGGCATTCTTATGCATCTCCCCTCACTTCATATCAGCTGGATGCTTCACTCTCTGCTCTAGCCCTCTTTGGCTATGTCCTTGCCCGTGGGCTCAGGGGTCCTCAGGTCTCATCATACTGCTGGCCATCCAGGTCTTGCCATACTCCAAGTTGACGGGAGTCTATTAATCGTGGTCGAACTTAGCCCACATCTTCATTGCTGCTTTTCCCCCACTTCCCCTCATCAATAGACCAGTGTGGTTGCCAGCAGGATTACCTACCTGCTCCTGTATTCCCTTTGAATTTCAGCTTGCCCTGAAGGGACTTAATTGCTTGCCTTGATGGCTCTCCTGAGGACAACTTGCTTGTTCTTGTAGTAGTCAATCAGATTGCAGTTTTTGTTTTTTATTTTTCCTGCTGGTCTTTCTCTCAAGAAGAATCTTTTATTCCTCTAGCTGCTCCAGGCTGGTCTGCTTGTCTATTCAAGTGGAAAATTCCCACCACAGAAGATTCTGGATGGGGATCAGGATTCCACTTAAGGTGTTATATACTACAAAGGCTCCGGAAGAAGCCTCTATCACTAGGCAAGTTTTAGCACCCATTTTAGGTTATAGGAATCCTGGTGTGGTGCTGTGGGTTAATGGCCCAGTCTGCAAAATCATTTGAATCACAAGGTCGGCTGTTCAAGCTCACCAGTCACTCCTTGGAAACCCTATACAGGGTCGCTATAGGTCAAAATTGACTCGACAGCACTTAACAACAACAATAACAATCAGTTATAGGCTGAAGATAGACTTACAAGCTTTCTATAATCATGTTTCTGGCTATTCCTTTCCCTCCCCCTCAACTGTATTTTACAGTAGTAGGCAAGTGAAAGCAAGATTCATAAGACAGTCAAGCATGTTAGTTTTATTTCCCTTATTTTACCCATTCAGACTATGTCTCAGTCCTTGTATCCCAGAGGCCTGTTGTTCCAAGGTTAAGCATACATCACTATTTACCTCTGTCCCATTTAGCCCATGCAAACCTGAATAAATGGTATCCTGTCTGATTTGTTTCAGAAGAATATTTTAAGCTGCTTGTGTTCTTGTTGTTGGTGCTTTGTTTTGTTTTGTGTTTAAATGTTTGTGAATATCCATTTTTTATGTTAATGGGTAATTTTTTCCTTTCTCTTGCCCTTAATAGAAAGAATCCAAACCTACTCAACATAAATACATGAACTGGCAACTACCTTTTATGAAAATCAATTGTTTTTGAAACCTCACAAATGAACAGGTCCATTATATTCAAAAGTTTTTGGTTTGGTCTTGTTAATCTCACTCCTGACTAATTTTCATTCAGCATTATGGACATGATTGATTTCTAATTTGTTTTACATTGTTGTTAAGTACTGTTGAATGGGTTCCAACTCACACAGCAACCCTGTACAGCATTTACGAGGATTGACTGGTGAGCTTGAACCACCAACTTTGCAGATCAGACCAACCTTGCAGTCCAGCGCCTTAATCCATAGTGCCACACCAGGATTCCCTTTTTATACATTAGCTTTAGGTGTATTTTCAGGAATGGTTGTATGTTAATAGATTTGAAATTTTCAAAGATATCGCTGTATAGAACAATTTTTCTGGAAAAGTTAGGAAATAATCTAGAGAGGCTTAGAAATTTAGTAAGAATGCATTTCTTTTTCTTAGTTTTTGTTGCGAGGCTCCATCCAGTCAGTTCCAAGTCATAATGACTCCACATGTACAACAGAGTGAAACACTGCCTGGTCACATACTATCCTCAGAATCATTGCTGTGCTTGAACCCACTGTTGTGGCCACTGTGTCAGTCCATCTTGTTGAGGGTCTTCCAGTTTTATAATGACCCTTCCACTTACCAAGCAGCATGTCTTTCTGCAGCGACTAATACCTCCTGTTAATAAGTCCAAATGTATGAGACAGTCTGACCACTCTCACTTACAGGCAGCGTTCTGGCTGTACGTCCAACACAGATTTGTTCGCTATTTTTCCAGTATGAGGCATATTTAATATTCTTCACCAACACTATGATTCAGATGCATTGTTTTTTCTTTGGTATAACTTATGTATTGTTCGAAGCCCTGGTGTGGCACTACAAGATAATGCACAGGACCTTAAGATCAGCTTGAATTGCAGGTTCGACAGTTCAAACCCACCAGCTGCTCCTTGGAAACCCTATACAGGGTCTCTATGAGTTGAAATTGACTCAATGGCACTTAACAACAACAGCATTTGTTATCCAGCTCTAGTATACATGTGAGGCGATTTAAAATACCATAGCTTGGATCAGTAAGTTCTCAAAGTGACATCTCTGATTTTTTAACACTTTAAAGAATTAATCTTTTACTGCTATTTCCATGGTTGTTAATGGTGGATACTAATGAAGTGAAATCCTTATCAACTTCAATATTCTTCCTTTACCATCATGTTGCTTATTGGTTCAATTAGAAGGTTTTTTGTTTTCTTTACGTTGAGGAGTAAATCATACTGAATGAAGACAGTAGTCTTTGATTTTCATCAGTAAGTGTTTCATGTCTTCTTTGCTTTATGCAGGCTGTTAATGAGACATTCTCTAATCCCGATGCCACATTCTCCTTCATAGAGTCCAGTTTCTAAGATTATTTGCTCAGCATGTAGATTGATTAAGTATGGTGAAAGGATACAATCTTAACTCTTTTTCATACAACTACCTCTTGGTCTTTGTGCAAGTTACACAGGAGCACAATTAAATGTTCTAGAATTCCCATTCTTCTCAGCATTTTCTGTAGTTTTTGATACACACAGTCTAATGTCTTTGCATAGCCAATAAAAAACAGGTAAACATCTTCCTGGTATACTCTGCTTTCATCTACGATCTACCTGGTATCAGTACATATGAGCAGCTGATGGTTTGTTTTGCCAGCCATCCCTTGTTCTCACTGATGATACTGAGTTTCTTGTTTAGAGAAACTACATAGCCCTCTAGTGTATTATGTTTCATGGTAACAATTGTTGATATATCTTTTTGTTTTTATGCATGTTTTAATGTAATACAAATATTCTTAACAAGATAAAATTTTATTGTCTGTATTTTCAGTGAAAGAGTTTCTAGCCAAAGCCAAAGAAGATTTTTTAAAAAAGTGGGAAAACCCTGCTCCGGTAAGGAATATTCTAGATTTTCTATGATTTAAAAATTCTGTGTTAACTAGAATCATGATTCTTGCCTAAGTAACCTACCAGTTCAGAAACTTTTATTTATTTGTGTTAATAAATATAAGTTTAAATTAAGAATTTTGCCTTACCACTATATTTTATTAACTAATGAATTTATGTATACTTAATTAAGGAAAGAACTAATTTCCAATTAAATGTCTGATTATAAATTTTGATACTTATTCTAAGTTGCCACAAACTCTAGATATTCTAATATTATAATAATTTTGAATTATGCCTTTGATAGCATACTTATTTTAATTAATTGCAACAGTAGGGATACTACTGTGCAGTTTCAAATGGTTAATCAAAAATATTTGATGATTAGTATATCAATTAAACAGAAATTGTTGTGATAAATTCTGTTTAAGCACTTTAAGTCTTAACTGAAATCTAAAATTTGTATATAAAAAAAGCTACTATATTTTCCCCCAAAATCTGTTTTTAGTGTTAAAAATAATGAGTGATCTTTAATTGCTGATTAAAATTTTGAAAACTGTTTTTTTTCCTAGCACATGAGGTTTTGTTTCAGTAATTTTTTTTTACTGAAGGATACTTAATCCAAAATAAATGTAATGTTTCATGATAAAACTTCATCCTTATCAAGCTTTAGAATATGATATATGTAAAACATAGGCATTAAAGTAATGTAACATAAAGATGAGAATGATGGTTGTTTTTTTAAATTCCTATTGCACAAAAGCAATGACTTAGAGAAATTCTGTTGTCTTATTTATTAATGGAGTGTGTCCATTATTTAGTATGACTATATTAAATGTTTCAATTCATCTGTGTTGATAAAACTATAAATTATGTATCAATCCATAAAATTAAACAATTAACCCACTGTATTATTATAAGGATGTTTTTCTACATTGATAGAATTTCATAGTAATTTTAAATTATTGGAAATGTGAAACTAAAGGATGGTGCAAAAGGTTTTATAAATGGAAGTTTTTCTAAAAGAGTTGCTTTCTCTATAAGGATCCAACACGAAGCTGTTTTTATTTCCAAGGCAAAGTTAAATTTGCAATAGATATCAAACCCACCTAGAATAAACTCCAATAGCCACCTAGATTCCTCATTTTAAACAAGAATTATACTACGTCACGGTTTTCTCAAGCTAAGAACTTTATAGATTAGTCCTTGGATATATTTTTTCCAAGATTAGCATAGAAATCTTTGTAATGAAAACCTATTAAACAAATGGGTCAGCAATTACTACTTGTTGCTATTTAGCACTTAGATAATTTGTTCCTAGTAATTTTCATTTTGCTGTGGCAGCAACAAATTTAAAAAATTGCTGCCTCCATCTCTCTGCTTCCGTCCTGTAGTCAAAGCCAAACAAAGATGTTTGTGCCAAACAAAACCTCTATTCACTGAGAATAAGAGTCTGATTATTGTTCAGGGACACTGACTTTTAGTTATCTTGGTGGGAATGAGGAACTCTCCTTTCTTTATTGTTACTATTTTAAGTAACACTGGGTTATTATAACATCAGAAAGAGAAAGCCACTAGGACCTTACATGTTCCTATTTTCGAGTTCTAGAGCTCTTATAAAGATATAAACAATGCTTTCCTTACTCGGAACTCTAGTGAAAGGACTAATCCCTCAGTTTATCTATTCATTACAATTAATGCAACTTCATTAATGATTAACATGACTGTCTTTGTGGTATGCTTCTTGTTCATTTGTAATTAAGATATGGCATAATTCATTGTAATTCTAATTCTAGGAACTCATGTTGGTATATGATGTTTAATATTTCAGCTGAGGCTCATAGCTTCCCATTATTATTTTATTTTATTTTACAATAAAGTTCTTTTCTCAATTATTAGATCCTTTCTTATTAAAAGGTAAAAAATAGAATCTCAATAATCTGTTCACATTATTTTGTAAAAGAGCTGTTATGAGTTATATGATCCATTCTGATTACATATTAAACTATTATATTATTATAATCATGAAAACATTTCATTTTAATTTATTTATGTTTTTCACATACATACAGAATAATGCTGGACTCGAAGATTTTGAAAGGAAAAAAACCCTTGGGACAGGTTCATTTGGAAGAGTCATGTTGGTGAAGCATAAAGCCACTGAACAGTATTATGCCATGAAGATTTTAGATAAGCAGAAGGTTAGTGCTTTTACTCATTATTTATTTTCAGGGTAACCTTCAGTTTTACCAGCTAGAATATTCAAAACATGCAATATAATGTCTTAGCATTGACAGCGTTCCATAATTTTATTGTTGCATTCTATTTTCATTCTTACTTATTGTGACTACAAGATACATAGAGCCCTGGTGTGGCACTGTAAGATAAGCACTGGACTGGCAATCACAAAGTTGGTAGATTAAACCCACCAGCCACTTTTGGATACCCTATCCTGGGTCACTGTGAGTTGGAAACAACTCAACGGCACACAACAACATGGTACATAGTTAACAGTTTTAGTGTTGTGTTGTTGTTAAGAGCCATTGAGTTGATTTTGACCCATAGCAACCCTGTATAGGGTTTCCTCGGAGCAGCTGGTGAGCTTGAACCCTGACCTTGCAGTTTAAACGACATTGCAGTCTGACGCATTAGTCCACAGCGCCACAGCAGGACGGGGGTATATTATTATTTATTTTAATAATTATTTACATATAATATTTTGCTAACAAATTATTGAATTCAGCATGTAAAGAATAAGTGTTGTAGAAAATTCAAGTACTAATTAACAGGTAACAGAAATTTACTAATTTTGGTTATGCCTTATTTTAATTACAGTTGTTGTTATGTGCTGTGGAGTCAGTTCCAACTCACAGTGACCCTGTACAGGGTTTCCGAGGCTGTAAATCTTTATGGGAGCAGAAAGCCTCATCTTTCTCCCACAGAACAGCTGGTAGTTTCGAACTGCTGACCTCTCGATTCGCAGCCTGATTCATAACCACTAGCTACCAGAGCTCCTTACAGTAGAAGCCCTTAAGAGGCTGGCTGGCTATATGTGGTTGAGTAGGTTCCGGATCATAGAAACCCACCCTGTATAGGATTTCTGAGGCTGTAAATTTTTATGGGAGCAGAAAGCCTTACCTGTCTCCTGAGGAACACCTGCTGGACTTGAACTTCTGACCTTATGGTTACCAACCCAACATGTAAATTAACAAGAATGGTGGTGGTGGTGGTGGTTATGTGCCATGGAGTCAGTTCCGACTCACAGAGACTCTGTACAGGGTTTCCAAGGCTGTAAATCTTTACGGGAGCAGAAAGCCTCTTCTTTCTCCTGCGGAACAGCTGCTAGTTTCAAACTGCTGACCTTGCGGTTCTCAGCCTGATTCATAACCACTACTCTACCAGAGCTCCTGAAATTAACAAAGAATAGGTTTGAATAATTTGAAATGTCAGTTAAAACAAGGAAATGTTTTTAAAATTTACCTGTGAGGAACTTCAAAAAGTTTGTGGAGAAATTCCATTACCTATTGATTTTATTTTCCCATAAATTTTTTGAAGTCAGTACTATAAAAATATACTCCTGGTGTGGCACTCTAGGATCAGCACTTCACTGTGAACCACAAGGTCATCAGTTCAAACCCACCAGCCGCTCCTTGGAAACCCTACATAGGGTCATTATATGTCACTTCATAACAGTACTATAAAAAATAAATTTAAAGTATTTATCATCCCACATTGGTGTACCTAATGAGTAAGAGTGCCTGAATTAGCCATGCCTTGAATATCAAGCTTCTGTGGTGCTGTGGGATAGAACACTGGACCTCAAGGTCAGTTTGAAACACAAGGTCAGTAGTTCCAATTCACCAGCCACTCCTTGGAAACCCTATACAGGGTTGCCATGAGTTGGAACCGACTCGATGACACTTAACAACAACAACTAGACAATTTAAAATTACGTATGTAGTTCATATTGTGCTTCTATTGGAAAGTACTAGTCTAGTCACTATCTGTAATCCAGATTAGCTCAGCACTGTTTCCTCTCCATTTTGCTGTCAACATCCCAATAAGTCACATAAGTAAATCATTTTTAGAACATACTCATAATATCTATATAATACCATATCAAGATTTACCATTTTTCCTTTTACTGTAATTGTAAGTAACTGCTAGAAGATTGTTGTAGTTAAATGCTGTCTAGTCGGTTCTAAGTCACAGCAATACCGTATAAGGTTTCTGAGGAGCAGCAAGTGAGTTTGAACCTCCTCTTTTTCCTCCTCTTCCTCCTCCTGACTGCCTTTTAAAAATTGCTAATCTCAGGACTCTAGACTAGCCCCCTCTTCCCTTTTTCCTATTCTATACCTTCTCCCTGTATATTCTTCAATAGCTGTAGTTCTCTCTTGAGCTCTGCTCCTAATTTGTATGTACAGTCTCAGCACGGAACTCTAAGAGACCATGTAGTTTTTTCTCTCATCTTTTAGATGAGAGTATTTGGCACCAGAGATACTTGTCTTGGTAGTATAACCACAAAATGCTTCTGATTTATCTTTTTGATTAAACCTGTCATTAGGTTGGGTAATACCTGGTGTTTTGTCATGAGTGGGACCTATTCTATTCCCATTTAGCTCTCTCTTCTTAAACAGTACCTTAGCTGAAATTATAGATGGCTTTCTTAAGAACAGTTTTAAATCCTCTATTAGCGTTTTCATTTGAATCTTATAAATTTGGTTAATAATTATTATCGTCCGTATCCAATTCTTGTGATTTTGCTAATCCAGATTCATTGTTACATGGAATGCATTATATTATTTATTTAAAAAGATAGTAAATTGTTATTTTGTTCAAGTACATTAAATATATTTATTTCTCAACTACAGGTTGTTAAACTGAAGCAAATAGAGCATACTTTGAATGAGAAAAGAATATTACAGGCTGTGAATTTTCCTTTTCTTGTTCGACTGGAGTATTCATTTAAGGTAAATTTTTATAGTATCCTAATAAAATATATTTAACCTGATATATGTTCTTAAATATGAAATTATAATGGGATTCTAAATTAGATGGTAAACCTGGAAATATGAAATTAAATCCTATTGTGTTTATAAATTTAGGCAACATTTGAAAAGCTTTTGGTTCTCCCTGGGGATATGTTGTTCAAAGTGACTATATATGAGATGGTTTTATAAAATATATCAATGTATCAGAAATCATGATGATATTTTATTTAGTGATTCTTACGTGTTTGCAAATGATTACACCCACACACCTTCTGCAGTTTTCCTTCAGCACTTTCTGCCGCTGTCTCACCTTTTTCACTTATTCATTTGTGTCATGGTTGGTGGTGGTAATGTGCCGTGGAATAGGTTCCGACTCTTAGCGACCCTGTACAGGGTTTCCAAGACTGTAAATCTTTACAGGAACAGAAAGCCTCATCTATCTCCCACGGAACAGCTGGTAGTTTCGAACTGCTGACCTTGCGGTTCGCAGCCTGATTCATAACCACTATGCTTAGTCTTTACATTTATGAGGCCAAATAATCTTTGACTCACTGTTTAAGTGTGTCATAAACATTCACAAAAATTTGTTTTTTTAATTGGCAGTTTTTTAGTGCTATAGAATAACACTTGACAACTCTCTGCAATATTGATTCATATGAAATATTTCAACCTTTTCTATATTTGCCTTTATTCTTTAAATCAAGTGAGGATTTATGTGTTTAAGATCCCATTAAAATTATTAGTCTGTCTGTTGTGACACAGTACTTAAAATGCAGATAATCTTAACTTTTTCAAATTGTTTTTGGCATTGTTATTACTTTGCATGCATTATACTATTATCTAATATAGGATTATATAATGCTTCAGTGTCTAATTGTTCTAGAATTAAGTGTTCCCTGCAGTAGCAGGAACAGCAAAAGTCCCAGACTAATTTTTGACAATAATACAAAATAAAACAAATGAGTACCTTACTTTAGAAAAGCTCAGCTCTGTTTACTTATATTAATCTAATAGATTTTGTATTTGTCTTTTTCTAATTGAACATGACATAATCCTAAACTATTTTTGAAGACAAAATGTAGGTAACATAATTTTTGTTTAATAATTATTATTTTTTTAATCCATAGGATAATTCTAACTTATATATGATTATGGAATATGTCCCTGGGGGTGAAATGTTTTCACATCTAAGAAGAATTGGAAGGTTCAGGTAACAAATGCTTTTTCTTTCCACAAATATTAATCAGCTATATTTGTTTTAAACCACATGTTTAAGTGATTGTAATTGCCGAAAGTTTATTTCATTGAATTTAATAATATACAAGAGGAACTTCGGAAAGTTTGTGGAAAATGGAATTGAAATATAATTTTTCCATGAAACTTTTGAAGCCATCTCATATTTTTTAATTTGTTTTATGATCTGGGTGAAAGATTTACAGAGTAAATCGGTTTTCTGTTCAACAATTCATACACCGATTGCAGTCCCCACATGTAACAGCCCTCTTCCCACATTCTTCCTCTGTTTACCATTTCCATTTGCCCTTCTTTCCTATCCACCTTTTCTTCTGAGCTTTATCCCTGAGCAAATTCTGCCCTTATGCTCTCATATGATTGATTGCTCGAAGATGTATGTACTTCCTTGTGTTATTGTTGATATTATATACTTGTCTATTATTTGACTGAAAGTTGAGCTACAGAGTTGAGAACAGTTCCAGGCTTGAAGGATAACTAAGAGCCATAGCTGCAGGGATACCAACAGTTTCTATCTAATCAATAAGCCTGTGGAGTTTTTATTATTTTGAGTTTTGTTCCATATTTTTCTCCTACTCTACTCAAGACCCTCTATTATGATCCCTTTTAGATCTGTCAAGAATGGTAGCAGTGTACTATGTAATTCTTCTGGTCTTATAGTGAATGGAGGCTAAGTTCCTTGGTCAAATTGTTTCCTTTGTCACTCTTCTTTGCTCTGGACAGGGAAAGACTAATAGCTGCACCTTAGATGGCTGCTCAAAAGCTGTTAAGACCCCAGTTACTATTCACCAGAGTAGGTTGTAAAACATTGTCTTTGTGGGCTATGTTATGCCAATTGACCTTGATACCCTCTGCTACTATGATCCTAAGCCTTTAGGATCAGTGACTCATTTCTTTAGTACCTGGTTATGGCTAAGATATTTGCATACCTTTGCTCCCTGTATTATAAGGATGGATATATTTAGAGAACATACAAATATGTATATAGAAATTATTTTCTGTCAGAACTATAATATATATGGTTATGTGTGTAGTTCTTTTGCCTGCTAATTCTTGTTCATCTTGCCTGTCTGCCTATGTATGCACTTGTAGATTACTGATATGCAGGATGGTGTATAAAACAGGATTTACCTCTGTTGTCTTTAACTCTTGTGCACATCTCTCAGTGTTTTCCTTTTCTTTAGTGGTATTGTGCTGATAATCACCTTATTGTATGTTGCCTTTGAATTTAGTAATATTTTAGCTACAGAAAGCATTACATAGAAACATTAGTAAGAAATTTTACCATTCATGAGTTTTAAAATTCAAATAAAAATACCTTCATATGAATTTAAATATTCTTTCATTGATAGATATTGTGAGGCTCCATTAACTTAGAGTTCATAAAATACAATTTTATGGAAAAAAATAAAAATTTAAAACGCAAATATTGTACCAATATTAATACAACTTTGTGCAAGATATTTGAATAAAATGACATATATGGAAAGACTAAGAGTATCATGGCAATGAAATTATGAAAGTTTGTTTGAATCAAATTTAGTTTTCATTAAAGTTGTTGAGTCTTTAAGAGAGATTGACCCCAGTGATTACCAAACTTTGCCATCGAGTCGATTCTAACTCATAATGACATTGTAAGGGTTTCTGAGAGTGTAAATCTTTACAGGAGTAGATAGCCTCATGTTTCTCCTAAGAAGCAACCTTGTAACTAGCAGTCCAGTGCCTAACCCACAGCATCACCAGGGACCCTTGCACTCAGTGGTTGTTATTGGTATTGTAAGAATATTGACTCATAGCAACCCTGTATAGGGTTTCTAAGAAGTGGCTGGTGAGTTTGAACCACAAGCCTTACGGGTAGCAATCCAGTGCTTATACTACAGTGCCACACCCAATAATTTGGCTATTACTAATAAGACTTCACAGTCATTAAAATATTTGATACATTCTGTTAGCTTTTCCTATATATAATAGTTAGTAAGTTACTATTGTTCATTAATAATCACTGATAGAATGAAGATAAAACCAAGAGCAGGTCCAACTTCATTTTGTGCATCACATCTCGACATATTTAAAACATAAATAAAGCTCAAATAGGACTGTCCTTGTGATTACACTTTAACTGATGAATAGTCCTTGGGTGGCATAAACACTTAAACTCTAGACTAGCCTAAGAACTGGCAGTTGAACTATGCTGCACACAAAAGGTTGCCATGAATCAAAATTCTCCCAACAGCAAGGACAGCAACAACTGATGATGGTAGTTTGGTTCATAAAAAGATGATAGATTTAGATTACCACAAAATAATATATTCAGTAATAATAAACATTATTTCAGTCATCTAGGACCTAAACCAAAAATCATTTATTGACCAAATATGTTTATTATTGCTGTTAAAGTGCCTTCAAGTCAATTCCGACTCATAGAGACCCTGTATAGGGTTTCCAAGGAACGATTGGTGGGTTTGAACCACCAGCCTTGTGGTTAGCAGCCCAGTGCTTACCCTATAGCGCCACACCAGCACAACAATAATGTGTCTAATATATGTCAGACACTGAGCTAATGCATAATAACCTCTGTTTATCTCTCATGATTCTCGTTTACCTCCTACAGTTTTCTCTTTGCCACTACCCCTTGTTCAGGAAGGCTCAGAATCCTCATATTGTTCTGTACTCATTCAAAGATTTTTATTAAAGTATCACACCTAAACCTGTCCTCCAAAAATATTTCGTTTTCTATAATTAATAACTTCTTTCCTTTGCAACTCCTTAGAGTCTCATTTCTTCAATAATTGACTTGGTTTTAGGAGGAAAGCAAGCTGATTAACATGATGCACACTAAGATACTATCTTTTTTAACATTTCGTTCATACTATATATATACTTTCTATTTATATGTATTGTGAAGGGGCCTAGAAACTTTGATGTACTGAGAATCATTGTTGAAGGTGGCTTTAAAAAGAATCAGTGGAGTCATTACAATTCTGTTTCTAAATAGCAGGTATCTAGACTTAAAGCCTACTACAGCATTAAATCTTCCTACATTCACTTAAATATTAAGTAGAAATATCCAGTAACCAATTGCATTTGTAATATTTTGCCTTCATCTTTCAACAATTTGATATATAGATCTCTGTAATTTCTGTATTTCTCCAAATACTAGTATGTGGAAATAAATATAAAATGCTGAGGGCTTATATGGACACAATAGGAGTCCTCCCTGTTCAAACATTTTCAAGTTTATGGATAAATGTTATAGTAACCAGGGATTTTACCCTCTCCATTTATATATTTTGTGGGTTATTACAATGTTGGAATGGGATGGAGTCTGGAAGGGTAATTTTCTTTTATACTCATTCAGTCAACACGTATTTACTGAACATCTAATGTGTATCTGACTATGACCTGGGAAACACAGGAACAATATATATCATTTTTTCTTCGAATTTCTGTTTCTGGTACTACCAGATCAAACTATCTTAAGAAAAATCCTATTTATAGCTAAGTTTGTTCATTGGTGTCACAAATGAAAGTTACTGCAACTTCACAGGTAAATTAGCAGAATTCAGTGAATGTATTAGAAGGTGAAATAGAAATTTCAAATTAGAAAATCAGTACATTCTTTTGGAGTAAAACTCTGAATGTGGCATCAAAGTGACACTAATATATCAATTGATCTAATAATCTATGCATGCAAAAGCTGCATGTTTAAACAAACATATAGATTATACATATGTTGTCTATATTAACATACATAGTAGAAAATTTGGAAGCTCACATACCAGGATTGTGCATATGATTTCTAGATGAGATATTGGTGTTTATACTTCAGCAATATTTTATGATATTTTTCCATATGGAGCATATGTTATTTTTGTAACATGAACAGGTTAGGTTTTAATGATATTCAAGTTAGAGTTTCTATGTATTGAAATTCTTTAAGTACATGAAATATATGTAAAAAAAGTAGATGGAGCCTAGCAAAAGTAACAAGGGTCCCAATAGACAATCCAGATAGCACATTTGTTTTTCAATTATTCTCAAGTTCAGACATAATTAGACATAAATATTTTTTAATATAGGGAATCATGATTTACAATAAGATGACTATTTTATGGTTCTGTTTTTGCTGAACATATGTTTCCCTTAAATGTATCAGCACATTTTTGAAAGAAGACTATAAGATTTGCTAAATGTTTGGCATAAATATTTAGAACTATTAAGATTCTCTGCATATGTTTAAAAGAAAAAATACATCCAGCCCTTGTTAATTTTATATGATAATATACTATGCTATGTTATCCATTTTACAGAAAATGATGTTTTGTTTCTTTGCAGTGAACCCCATGCACGGTTCTATGCAGCTCAGATAGTGCTAACATTCGAGTACCTCCATTCACTGGACCTCATCTATAGAGATCTAAAACCTGAAAATCTCTTAATTGACCATCAAGGATATATCCAGGTATGACTTGAACAAGTAATACGATTTATCTTAGAAAAACTAGGCAAGAAGTTTTATTTGTTCAACCCAATTCCCAATGTTGATTTTTACCCCACTTCTTGGGGGGAACAATTGCTTCTTCCTAATGGCTTAAATTGAACTTATAGTTCTGCAACTATTTTTAAAAACCATGAAACTGTCACTATTAAAAATAACTATGAATCCTATCAAAGGTAGGACCTCATTGTCTTTCCAATAATATCTGTTTATAAACTAAGAACAGGCTCCTACAAAAATAATAATATAGTTGTGTGCTCTCATAGTACCGACATTTTTTCAAGTGTTCTACTTGCATTAAGTCTCGTGATCCTGATAACCCTATAAAGTGTAGGTACTGTTACCCTCATTTTAAGTCTAAGGAAATGAAGCACAGCAAGTTCACACAGCTAATAAATGATAGAGTCAGTATTTTAAACCCAGGCTGTTCCCAGAACCTATGCTCTTTCCCACAACTCCATAACTGCCAAATGAGTTCCAAGTAGCAATATTGGAGTGATGGAAATGTTTTCTTTCCATTTATACTATTAGTAAAGTAGATACTCCCCTTTCTGTAGTTATCAGTGATCCTCCCATGGTGCTTTTGTGCTTTTGATGGTGTAGGTAATGCCAGAGGACAAAATGGGCTTATGGAACACTTGTAGCAATGTGGTCAGTTTTTCATTTTTAAAAATTGCTTTTGCCTTTTCTTTTCATTTTGTTATTCCTTGATTCTGTGGCCTTAAATTTATGACTGAAGAAGTTTTGTTGTTTTTATGTTAGGAAGAAGCCTCCGACGGGCTGTTTTAGCCTTCATTCACTAAATAGTGGCTTCATTAGTCTTAATTGCATTGACTTAGGTTTTTTGTTTTGTTTTGTTTTTGTGTTCATGGTTTTAATTTTAACCCTGAATTTTTACTTTAAATGTATGTACTGTAATTGAAATAATCGATGTTCACAGTACTTTTTTTATTCTTATATAGGTTACAGATTTTGGGTTTGCAAAAAGAGTTAAAGGCAGAACTTGGACATTATGTGGTACTCCAGAATATTTGGCCCCAGAAATAATTCTCAGCAAGGTATTTTTATCATGACCTTATGTAAGAATTAGAAAAAAAAAATTGCTATTAATTTTTGTAAAAACTGATTATTGATTTAATTTTACATTTTTAAATTAATTTAAGGTGTGAATTTAAATCTATATGCTCATGATTACTATAGGGTGTTTCTGTATGTTGTTGTTGCTATGTGTCACCGAGTTCATATCATCTTATACACAACAGAATGAAATACTGCCAGTTCCTGCACCAACCTCACAATCACTGCTACATTTGAGTCCATTTCTGCTGCTACTAAATGGGGCTCTTCCTCTTTTTTGCTGACCCTCAACTTTACCAAGCATGCCTGTGACAGGATAATATTCATACACCTTCAAGCAAGATCAGTTAATACCATGTTACTCAAATCTAGGTACATACCACTAGTGGCAGTGATGATGAAATTGAAGAATTCTACCAAATTCAATGTGAAATTAATCAAACATGCAATCAAAGCTGCATTTATTAGAATGTAAAAGTGGGACAAAAAAAGGAAGGTCCAGTAGTTGGAAAATATGGCCTTGGTGATAGAAATGATATTGGAAAACAGTGATTGAATTTTATGAGACCAACAACTTATTCATTACAAGTACCTTTTTTTTAAACAGCATACATGAACATCACCGGATTGGATACAAGGGCATCATATTAACTAAATCTGTGGGGAAAGACAGTGGAAAAGTTCAATATCATCAGCCAAAACAAGGCTAGGAGCAGACTATGGGACAGACCATCAATTGCTCTTATGCAAGTTCAGGCTATAGCTGAAGAAAAGTCCATGAGAGCCAAAAATATGACCTTGGACAATTTTGTTTTATATCCTAATTTAGAGATCATCTCAAGACCAGATTAGATGCATTAGACACTAATTATAGAAGACCAGAAGATTTGTGGGATGACATTTGTAGCATCATACAGGAAGAAAGCAAAAGGTCATTAAGAAGACAAGAAAGAAGGAAAAGATCAAAATAATTATCCAAAGAGACTCTGAAACTTGTTTTTTAGTGTAGAGAAGCTAAAGAAAATGCAAGAAATGAAGTAAAAGAGATGAACAGAAAATTTCAAATAGCAACTTGAGAAAACAAAGTCAAATATTATAATGAAATTTGAAAAGACCCAGAGTTAGAAAACCCAAAGGGATGAGCATGTTCAACATTTCTCATGTTGAAAAAAACAGAAGGAAAAATTCAAGCCTTGCAATATTGAAGAATTTTATTGTAAAAATGTACTCCTGGTTTGGCACTGTAGGATAACCACTGGACTGCTAATGACAGTGCCAGTGGTTCAAAGCCACCAGCTGCTCCTTGGAAACCTTACATGAGTTTGCTATGGATAGGAACCAAGTACGTGACACTTAACAATAGCAACATGGACAATATATTGAATGATGCAGAAAGCATTAAAAGAAGATGGTAGGAATCCATAGTTGCTGTACCAAAAAGAAATGATTGATAGTCAACCATTTCAAGAGGTAACATATGATCAATAACCAGTGATACTGAAAGAAGAAGCCCAAGGTGCACTGAAGGCATTGGTGAAAAACAAGGCTCCAGTAATTGATGGAATACAAATAGAAAAATTTCCACAAATTTATGCAGCACTGGAGGTGTTCACTCATCTATGCCAAGAAATTTGGAAGACAGCTACATGACCAAATGGTTGGAAGAGATCAGTATTTATTCCCATTCTAAAGAAAGGTGAACCAGCAGAATGTGGACATCATCGAACCATATCATTAATATCACACACAAATAAGATTTTGCTGAAGGTAATTTAAAAATTGCTACAACAGTACTTTGATAGAGAGCTACTTGAAATTCCAGCCTGATTCAGAAGAGATATGGAACTAGGGGTGTCATTGCTGATGTCGGATGGATCTTGGCTAAAAGCAGAGAATACCAGAAAGATGTTTATTTGTGCCTTATTGATCATGCAAAGACTTACACTTGTGTAGATTATGACAAGCTATGGATAAGAATGAGTACTCCAGAATGCTTGACTTTGTTCATGCACAGCCTGTACATAGACTAAGGAGGCAGTTGTTAGAATATAACAAGGAATACCAAATGGTTTTAAATCAGGAAAGTTGTGTTCCAGGATTGATTCTGTTTACCATACTTAATCTGCCTGTTAAGCAAATAGTCTAAGTAGTTGGATTATGTGAAGGAGAATGTAGCATCGAGATTGGAGGAAGACTCATTAATAACCTACAATATGCATATGGTAATAACCTTGCTTGCGAAAAGCCAAGTAGACTTAAAATTGTACTGATGAAGATCAAAGACTACAGCCTTGTATGGATTACACCTCTCTGTAAATAAAATGAAAAATCTCCTTCATAACTGGACATAGTTATGAAACATAGTAAAACAGTTACATAGTAAATGAAAAAAAGACTGAAGTTGCCAAAAATTACAATGTAGATCATTTTACATTGATTTACAATCAATACTCATGGAAGCAGCAGTCAAGATATCAAATGATGTATTACATTAGGCAGATCTTCACATGACATCTTTAAATGTTGTAAAACAAAAATGTCACTTTTAGCACTAAGGTGTCAATAGCCTCATATGCATGTGAAAGTTAAACAGTGAATAAAGAAGAAGAATCGATGCATTTGAATTAAGGTATTGGAGAAGGATATTTAAAAATACTTCGGAGTGCCAGGAGAACAGACAAATCTGGAAGAAGTACAGCCAGAATGCTCCTTAGAAACTAGGATGTGTACTTCAGACTTTTTTTTAGGAGGTACCAGTCTCTGAAGAAAGGCATCTTGCTTGGTAAAGTGAAGGGCCAGCGAGAGACTCCCAAAGAGATGGATTGGCATAGTAACAGCAGCAATGTGCACAAATGTAACAGTAATTGTGTGGATGACACAGGACCAGGCAGTGTTTCATTCTGTTGTGAGTCATAGCTGGCTGAATAACACCTAACAATGGGAATTACAGCAATAGATTAGTTGCTTTGATTGAAGGCAATTCTTCTTTTTCAAACCACGAAATGTATTTAGAGAAACTTTTATCATACCTAAAAGGACAGTTTGATTTCTTTCCATTTTCCTTTCTTCTACTGGGATGTAGGGGGGTACTGATGGTAATTAAAGGGTATGTTTGAGAGTAAAACAAAAAATGTGAGAACTCAGTTTATTTTTCTCCACATGTTCTGGCATTTTTTTTATTGTTTTTGTTTTCCATAATCATAATTGTGTGCCCACTGATAATAATTACAGTTGATAATAAATTTTATGTAAGCATATGTTAATATTTATCCTTATTAAATCTTGTTAAATGCATGTAGGTGTTGATTTTATAAGCTTATATGAAAAATAGCACCCAATTAAAAGTAGCATTTGAATTGCACATTTGGTTCACAAAGCACTTCTTATACACATTGTTTTCTTTCATCTGATATAAACCTCACAAAACCTTACAAAGTAGTTATCTTTCCTGTATATGTTTTAGAGATGAGAAGCAAAAGGATAGATAGCTAAAGTAAAATATACTTAAGTATGTAACTTTACTGGCTTCTAAATTATACATGTGGATTCTTGGTGTAGTGGTATTGGCTAAGCACTGAACTGCTAAATGCATGGTTGGCAGTTCAAAGTCATCAGCTGCTCCTTGGAAATCCTATACAGGATTGCTATGAGTTGAAGCTGACTCAGCAGTGCTTAACAACAGCAACAATAACATTGTATTTCTAACTTTTGTAACATTCTGTGAATTAGACAAATTACCTTGAGTATATTTACCCTCATAACTCCAATAATATTTTTAAGTCAACACTGCTACTTACTATGAAGTCCCACATATACTATTCTGTTTAAAGCTTTCGACCTTTCTAGAGTATGCTGATTTGTAAAATTATGGACCTGTAATGGACCTTAATTTATCCCAAAGAAATAGATATCTGTAATATGCTTAATGAATCTAATAAGAAGATGTAATAATTTTTCCTAATAATTTTCAGTATATGAAAAGTCTCCCCTTTGTATAATTTAATCACCTGGTATAGTTTGTTCATTTTTTTATCTGCCCTGAATAGGTGCTCAGCAACTGCTTTTGAAAAAAATATATATGCTTAGAAATTATTTTGAAATCATCTATGACTTCTTTTTCTTCATATTAATTAACTAAGAATTGACATTTGGTATTTATCTTAGGGCTACAATAAGGCAGTGGACTGGTGGGCATTAGGAGTGTTAATCTATGAAATGGCAGCTGGCTACCCACCATTCTTTGCAGACCAACCAATTCAGATTTATGAGAAGATTGTTTCTGGAAAGGTAAGTAATATTTATTATTACTTCTCTATTTACAGTGTGAATAATATAGAAATACACTAAAAGATAAGCACTGAACTTCAGAAAGGCCATTCCTCAGTGTCGCTGTGAGTCAAAACTGACTTGACGGTACTTAACATCTTTAGTTGTTGCCCTTTGTTTATCATTCATTAAATGCAGCAGAACAAATTTTGAATCATTGAAATCTCATAAGGAAAAATGGATTAGGAAAATAGTAGAGAGTTTTGTTTTCATTTTTAGTATATTTATCACTTGTAAAACATAGGATCTCAACCCCCATTTCATTAAAAATAATTGTTAGTTATTGAGTTTTAGGGTTTAGGGGCTGTCTTTATATGTCCTTACTTTTCCAAGATAAACTTTTTTGAGTTATGTTAAACAAAATTGTACAGAAATATTAAATGTATACACCTTTTTAAGATGAAAATACATAGAAATTATTTTAGTAGAATTGATCATGTTGACTGTGATTATAATTGCTATAAACTTCCAGCTAGTAGTAGTAATTTCTGTTAAATATGAGTAGATTTCATTATAATCATATATATATAAACATATTACATTATTTTATAAACTTCCCTTTGTTACATCAATACTTTGGATTCCATTTGGGTCCCTATTTGAATTTGCATACCTGTTTAAATTCCAAAAGTATTTTGGTTAGGGCCCATCATTTGCTTTTGCCTTACTTAGCTCAGATTGCACATCTTTTTTTAAATGCCACATCAGCTTTAATACAGATGAGCCTGATTCTTCCCACCATGTAGCAAAGAAAGAGTTGTTGCTAAATGCTGTCAAGTTAGTTCTGACTCACAGCGACTCTTTATAGGGTTTTCTAGTAGCAACTGGTCCACCACTCATTTTGTCATACTGAGGTGACATGTGAGTTGCTGTAATTCTGGAAGCTATGCCACTAGTATTTTAAATACCAGCAGGGTCACCCACGGTGGACAGGTTTCAAATGAGCTTCCAGATGAAGACAGACTAGGAAGAAGGAGAGATAAACTACTTCCAAATATTTAGTTACTGAAAACCTTATGAATAGCAGAGAAACACTGTCAGATATAGTGTCGGAAAATGAGCCCCTCACGTTGGAAAGCACTCAAAATGTGACTGGGGAAGAGCTGCCTCCTCAAAGTACAGTTGACTGTGATGACGTGAATGGAGTAAAGCCCATAGGAATAAAGCCCTCGAGACCTTCATTGGCTAATGGGGCACAACTCAAAATGAAGACAAACATACATTAATAATCAAAACATGGAATGTACAAAATATAAATCTAGGAAAATTAGAAATTGTCAAAAATGAAATGGAACGCAGAAACATCGATCTCTTACGAATTCGTGAGCTTAAATGCACTGATATTGACCATTTTGAATTTGACAACCACATGGTTTCCTACCTGGGAATAACAAATTGAAGAGGAATGGTGGTGCATTCATCGTCAAAAAGAATGTATTAAGATCAGTCATGAGATACAATGCTGTCTGTGACAGGATAGTATACATGCACCTACAGGGAAGACCAGTTAATACCACTGTTATTCAAATTTACGCACTAACCACTAAAGCCAGTGAGGATGAAATAGAAGAATTCTACCAACTTCTTCAATCTGAAATTTATCAAACATGCAATCAAGATGTGTTAAAATTACTGGTGATTGGAATGCAAGGGTTGGAAACAAAGAGGAAGGATCTGTAGTTGGGAAAATACGGCCTTGGTGATAGAATTGATGCTGGACATCGCCTGATAGAATTCTACAAAACCAATGATTTGTTCATTTCAAATACCCTCTTAAGACAGCATAAGAGAAAACTATACACATGTACCTCATCAGATGGAATACACAGAAATCAAATTGACTACATCTGTGGAAAGAGATGGTGGAAAGCTCCATATCATCAGCCAAAACAAGGCCAGGGACAAATTGTGGAACAGATCATCAATTGCTTTTATGCAAATTCAGACCAAAGCTGAAAAAAATTAAAACAAGACCATACGAGCCAAAATATGACCTTGAATATATCCCACCTGAATTTAGAGATCATCTGAAGAACAGATTTGATACATTAAGCACCAAAGACCAGAAGAATTGTGGGATGACTTCAAGAACATCATATAGGAAGAAAGCAAAAAGTCATTAAGAAGACAAGAAAGAAGGAAAAGATCAAAATGGATGTCAGAAGAGACACTGAAACTTGCTCTCCAGCATAAAGATGCTAAAGCAAATAGAAGAAATGAGGAGGTTACAAGAGCTGAACAGAAAATTTCAAAGATCAGGTCAAGAAGACAAAGTCAAATATTACAACAAAGAGTCACTGTACCAAAAGGAAATGCTCATTGTTCAACCATTTCAAGAGGTAGCCTATGATCAAGAGCTAATGACACTAAAGAAAGAAGTCCAAGGTGCATTGAAGGAATTGGCAAAGAACAAGGTACCAGGAAGTGATGGAATAAAAATTGAAATCTTTCAAGAAAGTGAAGCAGCACTGGAGGCCCTCACTCATCTATGCCAAGAAATTTGGAAGACAACTATCTGGCCAACTGATTGGAAGAAATCTGTATTTGTGCCCATTCCAAAGAGAGGTGGAAATCATCGGACAATATCTTTGATATCCCATGCAAGTAAAGTTTTACTAAAGATAATACAAAAATACATTGACAGAGAACTTCCAGAGGTTCAAACCGGATTCAGAAGAGGACGTGAAACGAGGGATATTATTGCTGATGTCTGATAGCTCTTGGCTGAAAGCAGAGAATACCAGAGAGATGTTTACCTGTGCTTTATTGACTGTGCAATAGCTTTCGGTTGTGTGGATCATGACAAGCTATGGACAACATTGCGAAGTATGAGTATTCCGAAACATTTAATTGTGTTCATGAGGAATGTATTTGTGGACCAAGAGGCAGTGGTTTGAACAGAACATGGGAAAACTGAATGGTTTAAAATTATGAAA